TGATGCTAAATCAAATGAAGAAAGAACACACACCGCAACCCATTACAGAGGAGTCTTTCTTCTCAGAGTCCTCTAGCACCATCAACAGTCTTCAAGTATCTGAAATACTGGTAGCACCTTTGTATTTGGAACAAAACAAAACAAGTACCTCAGCTCATCTCCGTCTAGGTCAGCACCTAATGGTGTGGATCACACTCATAGGAAAGTGTTTTGAGGTAGTTTTAAACCTTTGGAAGTCTGGGTTTTAAACTTCCCTCTGTGGAAGATATTCAAAAGCCACAAGTGGTGCAAATTGTTCATGGTTTTTATTTTATTTTTCAATTTTTATTTTGGTTTTCTTACAAAGGTTGACATTTTCCACAACAGGTGTAAGAGTGTTGAAAAAAGTTCCAAATCTTTGGGGGGAAGGGAGGGAATGAATGAAATCGTATTGCACTATGCTCTGATCAATCCTTCTCCTTCTCTTTTGCCCACAATTTAAGCAAATAGATGTGCAGGGGAAATGAAATGGAAGGACTCAGCTCTCAGTTAAAAAAGAAGAAAAAGAAATGGCAAAGAGAGAAAGTTTTTTTCGGACTTCTTTTGTTTTCTTTTTAATTTAGGTTGAGTTCATTTATTTGAAACAGACTGGGCCAACGTCCACCCTGATTTCTTGGTCAGCACCACCGATGTCCAAAGGTGCAATATCAAGGATAGGCAGGCGGGATGGCTTATTTGTTTTGTATTCAATGATTGTCTTTTTCCATTCATTTGTCTTTTTCTGTTTAAAAAAGGAAAAAAAGTACATATATGAAAAGCAGCATTATTTCTACATCTAGTATCGTCAGAACCTTAGATATTTAAGAACCACTTTGGGGCTTGTTCATTCCGAAGAAGTTTTCCCAAGGTCAACATGTTCTCTTTGCAACAGAAATATCAGGGGTGTCTTTAGGGAGAGCAGTTTCTTACCAGTCTAATTTTTTTTTTTATTTTATTTTTTTCAACGTTTATTTATTTTTGGGACAGAGAGAGACAGAGCATGAACGGGGGAGGGGCAGAGAGAGAGGGAGACACAGAATGGGAAACAGGCTCCAGGCTCCGAGCCATCAGCCCAGAGCCTGACGCGGGGCTCGAACTCACGGACCGCGAGATCGTGACCTGGCTGAAGTCGGACGCTTAACCGACTGCGCCACCCAGGCGCCCCCCAGTCTAATTTTTTAAAAGAAAATTTCAATACGTATTCCACATGGCTTACTGCTACATTATCGTTTTTGGGGTGTGCGTGTGTGGGTAAGGGAGAGCCAGGTGGGTATGCAGGCTGCTGCAAGTAAATTTTAATTTTTCTGCAATGTCTAGCATATTATAGAGAAAAATCGCATGCACGCCATACTAATAAGTAAAATAAAATACATATAACCATAAGTGATAGCTTGGGACCTTTTAACCTCAAGTAATTTTAAATTGTGGGCAGACATCATCATTTAACAAACTCAGGTTTAAAGAAAAACAGCTAGTGCATGGACACTGTATATATTTTAGCACTGCAGAGAATTTCAGAAGGCAAGGTCTGATAAGAACACTCAGAATTTAATTTAAATAAATACAGTTATGAAAATAGATTTAGTAAGTTAGGTCTCTTATTCATCTGTTTATGGTCTTATTCATTCATTACGGTCTAAGTTAAAACTCCATCTCCCCACCTCCAAAATACACTCCCCAAATAAGCATATCCCCACATTTCACTATTACTTACAGAGCAGCCGTCTACAAGAACAGTGTAAGTGAACCTGCTGTTGCCCTCGGCAACAAGTTCAACATCGTTGGAGCCTTGCAGAATGACAGCCTTTTTCAGGTTGCCAGTCTCCTCATCCATGTATGCAATGCTGTTCTTGCAGTGGTAGGTGATGTTTTGAGAGGCATGGTTGGCCAGCAGGCGCATGAAGGCAAGTTGAGTAGCCATTTCCTTGGTGGTTACTCCTTCAACATTATATTCAAACTACAGAAAATAAGATAGAAATTCTAGTTAAGTGGAGATGGCCTCAGGTACTAAGAGTCAAAAAAAAAAAAAAATGTCTGGTATAGGGAGGAATAATGGACTCAGAGCTGACCTTGGGAAAAAGGTACTTTTCCAGGAAACTCAATTCACTGGTCTTTGAAATATTAGTTACTTAGAAGGGACATAGGAACTACCAGGCTGAGGCAAGATCATCTCAAAAAGGTACCTGTTCTAGATAAGGTATTTTTAATGGGTATGTATCTTCTTTAGAATAAGAGAACAAGGAGACAGAGATTCAGACCTCTTTCTTTTTCTGTAATCCCCACCAGGAGGCATGCAATAAAGTTGGTGAAAAGATTTGATTAAAAATTCAGAAAAGCACATGTTCTGAAAATATACATTCATGGGTACAGGGATGCATATGCTGGCCAGTACTTCCTCACACTAAATGTCATTAGTCAGTTTCTCCAGGGATTATCAGTTGAGCCAAATTTGCAGAATAACTTTGAATTGTGTGGGTACGTTCAATCAATCCATCTTTAATGTACAATCCCAGGATAGAACTGGAACCCAAGAAAAGAGCAGGTTCTTTTAACAATCCCATTTGGATAAAGGACTAAAATGCAGATCATTAAAAAGCAAACAATCTTAATAATATTATTTAGTAGGAGAAGGAATGTTTGTAGGATTCCTCACCTGGGTGCCACCATTGATAGTTTCTCCTAACCACACGTGCTTCTTGACCTTGGAATTTCTGTACCAGTTCTTGGCTAGGATGTTTTCAGGTTGAGCCCGGATACAGGTTTCGCCAGTAGAGAAATCACAGTATACTTTGATAGCATCCATAGTGCATCCTTGGTTAGGGTCAATCCAGTAGTAACCTTTAAAAAAGACAAGACCCAGCTCATAAAACTTCTTATTGAGTGGACTATAGGTTCTAATAATTACTAGACCAAGATTTTGATTCTTATAAGTAACATTGTCTACCCTACATTTAATAGGAAGAGGATGGCTACTTTCCAGATTAGACAGTTCCTTCTCTCCTCTCCTCCGTGAAACATCAAATCAGAGTATATGAAAAATACACATTAAGAGAAGCCTGAAACTGGATGCTGGTGAAGAAGAAAATGCTTCTAATTAGGCATGATTCTATATAATGCAATTTTTACCCAAAACCTTTTCATTCTAAATGTCAGTGGGAACTGACTTTGCAAAGCCCAGCTTGTGAGAAGGGCCATTCTGGCTTGGGCATCTTGACCTACCACTGCTCCACTCGGGGTGGCTAAGTCTCAAGTCACGGCATGTGCGAGCTGGGTTCTTCCTAGAGCCTTCAGGAGTAAGAAGGGTCTCAATCTGGTTGTTGAGAGATTTCAGAGTAGCATCAACTTCATAATCCTTGGGTCTGAGAGAAGGTGGTGAGCGAGGCTGGTCAGCCCTGTAGAAGTCCCCTTCGTAACCAAAATCATAACCACCACCACTTGGGCCAGGAGGGCCAGGAGGGCCAGGGGGGCCAGGGGGGCCCTGCAAACGTGAACGTGAGAAAAAGGAGGTTTTGTATTTGGTCACAGTGAGAGATATCAGTGACAGCAGATTTTCAGTCGAGCATCACACACAAGCATGTTCTAATAAGTAAAAAAGAACTAAGTCCATGAAATAAACAACTTGATCTCAGACATACTTGCAGGGATGGGCCTAAACAACGTTATCACATACAGATAATTTTTACACGTTTTAGAACTAACATGTGGCAGTGGGGGACAACTTTAATGTGTTGTTGTAACCATCTTGGTTTAGTCTGAAGAAGATATTCCTTAGGTCTGTGATGCTCTTTATTATTTCCCAAAACGATACTTACAGCAGGACCTTGGCTACCCTGAGAGCCACGAACGCCAGCAGGTCCAACTGAACCAGGATGTCCAGTGCGACCGTCTTTGCCCATAGGGCCAGAAGGACCAGCAGGGCCCTAGGGAAGAAGGACACTGGGTCTGAGTGAGTCAGTAAAAACCCCACAAGGAAGCAGAGGCCTGGGCTCGGTGCCTGACATAAACTCCATTTCAGAGATAAATGTCTCTTAGATTGACTTACCCTAGGACCAGCAGGACCCACAGAGCCAGGAGCACCTTGATCGCCATGTTGGCCCTTTAAAGAGAGAACAGGAAAATCACACTTTCAGAACACGTGTCGACAAATAGGTTTTTTTAAATTGAATGGAAAACTTTAGTTTCAATGGACTCTGGATTGAGAAAATTGAAAATGTAAAATGGGGCTCTTTTCTCCCATTATGTCTATTATATTCAATTATATTTTTTTCTACAAGCTATTTCAGCAGTGCAATATTAGTCATTCCTCTAATTATATTTATTTTAAGTGGGGTTGAAGGACATTGTTGCCAAGAGATTTTAATATATGTATATTTCAATTTCCCTTAACCCTCACCTTTTTGTGTTGGGATGAAATGGCATTAATCTCTGCGAGATGGAGTGAGCCAGAGAATGGGAAATGAATATGATGTAGGACATTTTAGAACAACGGCAGTGAAAATTTGAGGAAGATCTTTTAAGATCCGTATACATGCACGATGTCCACATTTTACTTACAGCAAGACCAGGAAGACCTTGCAGTCCATTGTGTCCCTTTAAGCCAGGAAGACCCCTAGGCCCCTTGTCACCAGGCTCTCCTTTATCACCTCGAATACCTTGTGGGCCCTGTATAGAAAAAGAAGGGCAGATAGGACATTTACTTCTTTAGAAAATGAGACTCCCGTGCCCACAAATATTGCTTAATCTGTTTACAAAGCAACTCAGGATGTGCAAAGGTTTAAAAGCCATGGGGGTGTTATCTATTCCCTTAATCTGCTTTAGTTAAGCTTCCTGTGAAGTGGCTAGATTTTTGTGATTATTTAAAACAAGCAGAAGGGATTTGAAATAGAAGAGACTTAGAAGCTATTTGTAGCAATTCTCAACATGGACTACATTTTTAAAAAAAATATGAAGTCTAGCCTGTATATTATTTATTTCCTTCACAGACAGTCTGGACTGAGGCTCCTTAAATGTTAATTTGTAAAGAAATCATCACCATGTACATACAGTAGGACCTCTTGGACCAACAGCACCAACGGGACCAACAACACCAGCAGGACCCTGTGAGTTGAAAAAGAAAAACATAACTGATCAGCCAAGCCCAAAACTCTCCTCCCCAAGCCCCCATAGTTCCCAAGTGTGGGGAGGTCACAAGGGAAGCCTACAAAGATGGCAGCACACAGGGACTGGTATTTACAAACTTACAGGTTCACCACGGTTTCCATGTTTTCCAGTGGGACCCACGGGGCCATGAGGACCAGGTGCGCCCACAGCGCCAACTGGACCAATGTTGCCAGGGTAACCGCGTTCTCCCTACCAAAGGCAAAGTGAAGTTTAGCATCAAACTGTTCTGTGTTTTCGTCACTTTTCAACTGGAGAAAGACAGAGAGGCATACTGACCTTGTGTCCAGGTTGACCATCGCGGCCTGGGGGACCATCATTCCCAGGGTTGCCCTGTGAAGACACCACACCAATGAAGGCACTTAGTGAGGCTCTTTAACCCACCAGCCCCTATAGTTCAGCTCCTCCGTCTTCATCACTCCCAGTGCTCACTAGTGAACCCACTTTCAGACTTAAAAGACAGGAGCAAGAACTTGCCAACCTAGTTTCTTTTAGAGGTGTTTTGGATATTTTGGCCAACTTTGAAGCATGCTCTTCAAAGACCCATCCATCCCCCAGTCCAAGTAATTTTTCATATTTTCAATACCAGGAGTGGTCAGTACATGCTGATTTAATGGAGAAACAGACCATCTTGTTCCAAAACTTGGAACAAGAGGAACTCAGCTCAGGATATGATGTTGCACATAATGAAACACAGCTAGGTTTTCTAGCTATGTTTATGTAGTTAGTATGTAGTCTAGTACGACAAACCAAGCGTCATACTCACATCGCGACCAGCTTCACCAGGAGCACCATTGACTCCAGGTGCGCCCACAGCACCAGAGGGACCACGAGCCCCAGGTGGACCAGAGATGCCGAGAGGTCCAGGTTCACCCTAGAGGCAGAGAACACAAAACAACATTCTTCTTATTGGATTGAGAGCAAACCTCACCCTTCCTAAACAACCCCGGCGAGGAGATTCCAGTTTGCAAGGAGAAGGTACAGTGAGACTGAATGGGTCACAAAATGGTAAGAAGTGTCATCAGTGTTATCCTTGCCCTCATCCTACACACTCAGATGGTCAGCTTTATTGAATTTTGGAATGCTGTTCTGTACAGGTGAGCCTAGTTACGTCCGATATCCCAAATGAAATGAATTCATAAAGTTGAGAGAGTTTATGGAGGTGAGCTGAGCCCTAGCTGCTGTCATGTATAGGATTTAATGGAATGATTCAGAACTTCCAGAGCTTCATTCTTCCAACAGGATAAATGATGCCAGCATTTCACACTGCAGAGGAGTAAATGCAATTAGAGCTTATATAGTTCTTAAGCATGTAAAAAGAACAAAAATCATTCTGCATAATATTAAGCTGTATCTTTATAGCGTGTGTCTAAGTAAGGTGGTATTAAAGCTTCTTAGATAAGTGACATGTGATCTGTATAAAGAAAATGCCATGAATAAAAAATCTTAAGTGGAGTTATTCAGTGATCAATCTGTCACATCTGAAGTGGCAGCTTTTAAAATCTTTTATTATGTTAATGAGAATAAGAATGGTGTCAAACACTTACCACAGATCCAGAAACACCTGGTAGACCACGTTCACCTCTAGAGCCTGGGAGACCCAGAATACCAGGAGCACCAAGAAGACCTTGAGGACCAGGGGTTCCAGGGGGTCCCTGAACAAGAGGAAAACTACCATGACTAATAAGCCCCTCAGTGACAATACGGGTTGGCTTGAGGATTGTGAGAATGCGCTATCCTCGGTTTAGAAAAAAGCTAGTGACCTTCCATTAGTAGGATGTATCCTTGGATATCTTTTCTCTAGTGATGAGTTTCATGTTGGCAAGTATATTTCTTTGTACCCAGTTCCTCCCTGACACCAATGGAACGACATTAAAGAATATGTGGTTGTGATTAATGAAGCCATCTGGGGTAGTGAAATAGAGTTTTTATGGAATCTATGCCAAGATGCAAATTTTGACCTCGGCCTCTAACTGAACCAGGTCTAAGAAAGACACATTTCAGAGTAACAACAATACTGAACAATGCATGTTTAAGGAATTGGTAGCTTGCTGAGATTTGATAAATTTACAATAGGATGACCATGGCAATGGGATTCTGTTCAGTTCCCAGTACCAGTAAGGTGCCATTTTGATAAAAGAGTGAGTTCCCTCATTTATTGTCATCCCCATCTCATGCCTTCTGAGCAACTGCTGAAGCTATGACACCTCAGTATCTGTTGGACAGATTTCCTGGCTCAAATTGAGCTCTACTTGAAAGCCTGCAACACTCATCAACAAATATATGCCACTTGAAGATCTGTGTAAGGCTTTATTTTAATTCAACACAAGGTATTAAGAAAGAGAAGCTTGAAATCACTTACAGCAGTTCCAGGCTCTCCAGAGGGACCCTTCTCACCAGCAAAGCCAGGGGGACCAGATGCACCTGTTTCTCCTGTTCGGCCAACTGGACCTTGGTCACCCCGAGGCCCACGAAGTCCTTCTTTACCAGCAGCACCAGGGGGACCAGGAGGGCCAGTGATACCCTGTGAGCAAATGGCAAGGTTATTTATCCTCAGTTAATCATCACAGACCTGGGAGAGAGCAGCTGAGGTTCCAGATATTAAGATGCAAACAGTGTGAAGCAACAGGATGATACCCTGACCGTTTGGGGGACATGTTTAGGGTTTGTAATAGTCTTTCTTATGGAGAGAAGCAGCTCCCATCCTTTCTCCGAAGGTTATGGCAAAATGAATAACTGAAGCAGAGGCTATGGCAAATGTTGGCGAGGAAAAGCAATGCTGTGCTACAAGGATCCTGGCATATTGGAATCAGAACTTTGTAGAGTTAGAAGAGTTAGTCGTCAATGAATGGGACTTTGGGTTTTAGAGGACTCTGCTCATTTCTTTGTGAAGAAAGACAATACTGGAATTTTGTTCATAATTGAGGAATCACATATGCTCTCAACTAGGTTTAATTAAATGCCTACAGGGAATGAAGATTTTTCTGTTATGAACCTGTAAAAGGATTCCAAGAAATCAACATCTTTGTGATTTTTTTCCCTGAAACCTTAACCGGAAGACTTAATCCTTGGTAATTAATTAAATTCTCTTGAGTCCTGACAGGAGAGTCTGAATCAGAATTAAATTAGAGGCCAAACCACCTTTAAATTCTGGAACAATTATACCTTAACAACGGAGGCAGAATGTTGGCCATAAAGGGTAATTAGATATAGAAATATCTGATATGTGACTAAAACTGTTCTGTTTTTTTTTTATTTTTAACGAAGAGACCGTGCCCCTAAAAAGGGACTTGTGTTCACATGAATAAAAGCCTCTTAAGCCGATATTATAAAATATAATTTGTGATGATTTTGTCTTAATGGTTCAGGAAAACTGATTTCAGACCAGGAAAGTAATAGCAAAATATTAGTAGCGTGTTTCTAGAGAGTTTCTTACCAATTTCCTATTAGAGGCAAGGTTGTTTGGCTAAATGACACATTTTGAAGTGATTTACTTACAGAGGGTCCAGGAGGACCAGTCCGTCCAGCAGCACCAGGGAAACCAGTAGCACCCTAAAAACCAAGCACATTAAAATTCCACAATCAATGGCAGCTCTAGGGATGTAAGATGGAAACTTCTCCTCTGACAATTCCTCAATACACATGACCACAGATAGACCAAGGAGTAGGTGGTGGCACCCTCATATAGGGTATTATTTAACAAGAACCCCCCAAAAAATTAAAAAAAAAAAGAAAAAAGGGGGTGCCTGGGTGGCTCAGTCGGTTAAGCGTCCGACTTCAGCTCAGGTCACGATCTCGCGGTCCGTGAGTTCGAGCCCCGCGTCGGGCTCTGGGCTGATGGCACAGAGCCTGGAGCCTGCTTCCGATTCTGTGTCTCCCTCTCTCTCTGCCCCTCCCCCGTTCATGCTCTGTCTCTCTCTGTCTCAAAAATAAATAAAAACGGTAAAAAAAAAAAAAATTAAAAAAAAAACAAGAACCCCAAAGACCTTCCATCTCTACACAGCTTTCCGACCAGCGTGCCCCAATTGCAACATCCATATTTTGCATTAAGGCTCTGATGGTCCTTTTTGAAATGCTGGTATGTAACCTGACGGTTTTAAGAACAAGAAGACACCATGCCATTATTACACACTGATGTGCATACGTTAATAAATGTCTTAACCACTTGGCTGGGTGCAAAAGAAGTGGACACTGGATAAGCAGTTTTGTTTACACAGGAAGGTACAACAAAAGACCATGAGTATTAATTGCTGTCCAGCAAGAGCAGGAAGGAGTCCGTGCAGTTCATTCCTTGGGAGGTCTGGGTCTTTAAGGAGTCTGCATAACAGCACTGGGTGCCAAGAGAAAGGGCATGGTCAGGCGGGAGAAGGGAGCATCGTCAAAAGGATAAAGAGAAATATTTTTACCCATTTCACAATTCAACAGCCTGGCATTAACTTTGGTTATTGCCTCAGGTGAGGGGTAGCAACATACACTACACTGAGCTCCAGTTGGGATTAAGTTAATATCCCTTGGCCTGACTATCACTTCAACACCAGAATATCTTCAGATAAAGTTAACTTGAATTTCAAGAGTCTCCTTATCATAGTCCAAAATTAACCAAAAATCTCCAAAGTTTCAAGGTTTTCATAGATTCTAAAGAAAGAAATGTCCTCCATTATAAATACTCACAGGAGGGCCACCATCACCACGACTGCCAGCAGGACCAGGGGGACCATTTGGACCCTAAATGGAAATTGACAAAAAAAGATGGGGTCAAATCACAAAAGAGTTCTTCTACATGTTGCTTTTTTATTCAAAGGTATCATTCCTATATCTATTAGAAGCAAATCCCGAAATCAAAAATGATAATCTGTGTCATAAGATAAATGTCCTTTTTTCAGTGTTACCACCTTCATGGGGTTACCAAAGAAGTAAGATGAGACAATATT